GTCAAAACATGCCCTTCCTCCAAACATGGGTAAACTATTAAATTAATCAGTCAGTTGAGAAAAGCTATGGAATAATAATCTGAAGGAGGAGGCTAAGAATCTATGAAAAAAAGGAAGAAGAATGATTAGGGAGTGAAAGAAAAACAATGAGGAAAAGAGGAACTTGGTGTAATGAAGTTTGGGAGAAGTCATAAAATAATGATCAAAATATAAGGAAGAGGAAAACAAATTTGAAAAAAAAAGAAAAGATGAAAATAAACCTAAATAAAAGTGTAATGATGAAAAGGGGACCATTTTCCCATTCTCATAGATAGTTCATTGATTTATGTAAATTTCTATGATGAAGTGAATACAAAAAAGAACAATGAATCATCAAAAGAAAGCCAAGCAAAAAGTTTTTCTGGACTTTTTTCCTTTGTTGAGAAAACAGTGATAAGTTTTTTTTTTTAATATTCAGAATCTAAAGTATCCAAAATTAATTATTTTTGCATTGTCCTTTTTTTCTTACTTTTTTTTTTTATAACTTTACATTTTGAACATTATCTTTTCCCCAGACTTCATATCCTTTTCTTCTTTGATATCATAAATTTCAAGTCTACATTAAACTCTACCAAATAAAAAGTATGTTTATCATAATAAAAGATAGAAAGTATCCATCAAACTTCTTACAGAAATGAATATAATGTATTTAATTAAACAAAATATACAATTAGGAGGATTTAGTTATCCTGAAACTTGTTGGTAAATCCTCTAAGTTTGTTAATATTATAGAATTTATCTAAGTATATGAGAGTGGATCAATAAGTCTGCATCCGAACATAGTTTAGATGGGTGTCTACTTGGTAATACCATGTTCTGTAAGCTTGGATGTGTGGGTGGTGTAACGAATAATGGCTTGGAATTGTTAATTGTTCCAATTCCTTTGGGTTTGTTATATTCACTTATGTGCAAATACCCTCGGGAAAGGTATGAATCCACCTCTTCTCCTTTGGCTATGGGTTAATTAGTAAGACTTGTATCACTAAAAAAGAACATTCTTACAATCTAAAAGAGTTTTATGGCTGTAAATAACCTGTGAAAGGTTGATAAGCTGTAGAAAATCAGTCAATCTAACACACACTTCAGTGAATTTCAATTTGAAATTTTAACTGTAATGTTCAATATCCTTTTCTTCTTCAGTGCCATTGCCCTGTCGAGAATTGGGCCACAGTCTTGCCATGTTACATGTTGTTGCTGTGAGTTCCATAGTTAGTAGGTTTTTACTAGTTGTAGTTTGTTTTTTAAATGCAAGGGATTACTGAGATTTAATAAGGAAATTAAGAAAAAAGTTGCCGAAGAGAAAAGATAGTTAAAAGAGCAGGATACAAAGAAACAGATGATCACAGTTGACATTGCATTTAAATTTTTGAAGATAATATTTGACAGGTAAGTAAGAAACCAGAAGAGAGTTCCACAAGTGCAAAATGATAATGAAGAAATTATTCGCATAGAACTTAAACAATTTCAACAGTAAAATGACAAAACCTAGCTTCCAATCTAGTACTACACTGAAATTCACAAAATCAATGTACCAAAGAGAAAAGCCCATCAGAACAATTACCATGAAAGTATTTACAAAAAAGGCACAGGGAAGCTATGTTATGTTGGTGGAAAAGTGAATGATCAAGATGCCAGGTCAGAACCAATGACATTGCAGATTCTTTTTTGGATTCTGTTAAGAATTTCAAGGTACATAGAAGCACCAGACCAGATGCGGCAGCATTCAATGCATGGGTGAATGGTTCAAAATAGATTCTGGTGAGAAAAACAGTTGTCCTTCTCTTAGACTGGTTGCCAAACAAGGCTAGAGCTCCCAGTTTGTCCTGCCATTTATCCCATAGATGGGAGGCAGAAAAGATGCCAAGAGTAATTGTGCAAAAGTGAATGCTATGGACTTGAACATACTGAGAACTCTTATGCTATATGCACATGTTCAATCTATGTGATTAAAATTCACTACTGAATTAAGTGCATTGGTAAGAAAGGAGATTGTTAAAAACTATTTGTTGTATGAAATAAAAGCTTTATTTTTTTCATTATTAGGCAACAGGCATTGATTTAGCAGCATATATAAAACCTTTTCATTAAATTTTAGTAAAACAAAAATCTGTATATAACTCTAAGTATTTAAAAGTAGATATCTTTGCTATTCTTTTTAGACCACAACAAATCCCTTTTAGTTTGAATACTGTCATTGTATCAGATGATAAGAGTGCTTCTCAAATATACAAAATTCCACCTTGTAAACACTGTTAAGCCTCGAAATGTGTACATTTTTAGAATAATCCTTTTAAAGAAAAGAGACAGTTGTGCTTAGATAAGAATAATGTAGTTTTTGAAAACAATGCCAAAAATATCTAGAGAGATAAGTGGCAAAATACTCAGTAAATAGTGTCCTGTTTTATCATTCACTTCTTTTTCCTTCATCTTTAGAAAATAGAATATTAAAAATGATGACTCAACAGTTTTTCCTCAGTGAGCAGATGACTCATTTCTCACTTTACAAACAACTATTTTTTCTCATTAGAAATAAGTTCATTATCAATATTAGATTGCTCTCAGCAACTTTACTGTAAAAATCTTTTTTAACTCAACAGAAATAATAACTGCGGTATATATTTATAACAATGCAGAGCTTACCACTATATAGCTTATTTTGTTTAAAGGAATTTTAATACTCAATATGAAATAACCTTGTTTATATTGATTTAAATGAGCCACATTCTACAATTGATATCATTATTAACAGTACTAGTAGTAAGAGTTAAGGGTCTTTTTATGTCATGTCCCTTCAGGACATAGGTAATCACAACTCTCCACAGATTCCTTTTTTATTATCTGTGAATTGCCATGACTTCTTGAGAAAGACAGAGAAATGGTTTCCCTTACCTTCTCTATGATTTTGAATTCAGTTTTCCTTCTCTGAGATTAGTTGCCACTAGAAGACAGAAAGCTCAGTCCACCCTGCTATTTATCCTTAGCATAGCTTCTGACCTCTTGCTTTCCAATCAACTTTGATTTTTCAAAAATTTAAATGCAGTGTCAATCATTATCTTTTGTCTTAATTCCTGCTCTTTTATTGTTCTCTCTCCTTAATTATGTTTTTCTTTTATTCTTTCACATTCATTAACCTTTCGCATCTTAGTGGTTTTATTGCCTTGCTTGGGTTGAAATGATTAAAAGAAACAAAAAAGAACTATAGCTGGTGGAGAGAAGAGGGATTCATGCTTTTCCAATTGATATTTATGCTAAAGTGAATACAACAGGTTTGAACTCTCCTTGCCAGTTCCCCTTTCTATTCCAATATCCATTATACTACCTGCACCTCCTAAGAGCTCAGGGTAAATCTTGTATATTGATAACTCTGCAAACATGGGTGGATCAAATCTGTTTTAAATGAGTTTCAATTTGAAGATAGCAAGTGAAGTTATTTCAAGGAGGTGACTTCTTGATAATATCTTGGATATACATGTATATGTATGTGTTTGGAAGCTGTTCATGGTTGTTCTAGCATAAAGCTTTATGTCTTCACCTAATCGGCAGATAGAAGCTTTTTAGCTTTGACATTTTTTTATCTTCAAATTACATATGCTATCCGTTTTACTTGTTGCTGCTGCCAAAAGTCCTCAAGTGACATGTTTTTTGTTATTTGATATTGTAGCATGACTACAAGGTTTGAAGAAGGATAGCCATTTTTAACCATCTTAGAAAGGAGTTATATGTAGCTGACAGTTTAGATATTTCTGAATGAGTTTGGCACCATGCATGACATCCAGATGAAAGTCTTGATTTGGTGAGGCTATTTAAGAACATGACTTGAGTTTTCAGGAAAATGTTTTGGTTTTATAGCAATTTGTGGTGTTAAATGAAACTACCTCTAGCACAGTTTATTCTAGATTCCATTTCTTTATCTTCTATACTGAATTTGTTATAGCTGCTCTATACACCAAGGAATGCCATCACTGATTTCATTCCAATTCCAGATCATAGTTTTTGTTTAGAAATATCATGTGCAATCTGCTGGAAATAGTGAAACATTACTGGAAGTATTTAAGACAGTCTTCACCAGGTGATGATATTTGAATACCCTACTATTAAATAGAGTGATAAGTAATTTTCATTTTTGGGAAGCAATTGTGATGATGAATGCATCAACCTAACTACTAATCATACATGGCAGTTAAGAATAAATTTGGAGTACACTAACATACCTTAGTTTTTGCATGGCAGTGTACACAATGGACTTAAGGATCAATATTGTTCTCCTCCATGATTGTACCCCCTAAGACTCAAGTAAAAGGGGGAGGGGAGTTCTATAGAGTCTTGTATTGAGAAAAGATATTTTAAATATATAAAAACAAATGAAACATGAAATAAACACTTTATTCAAATTAAATATAAACTAAATTTTTATTTCACTCTTTGATTGGATGCCCTTCTAATATAGATGCCTAGGACCATCACGCCCTCTGACTCCCCACTCAACCTTCTGCACCAATATCACAGTACTCTTTTCTATAAAACAGTTGTCTTAAGTGAAAATATCAGAAATTTCTGGTACATTTAATGGGTTAAATCACTTATAAACTCACCAAATTGTGTGACTGGATGATAAGCATATTTGAAAAATTAGCTTTAAGAATTATGAATTTTGTTTTTAAAATATTTACATTTGTTTATTATAGAATAAATAATTTTTCTCTATATACTCAGCAACATTCTTTTCATATTTCAATCTTGTAAATATTCTAAATATGTGTATTCTACATTTCTATTCCTAAAATGTTATAAACATTATTTATGTAAAGGTGAGTATTGAAAATCTGAGTGCTGTAATGTTTTACCAAAAAAATTGTGCACAAAATCTCACTGTTTAATGCGATAATCGCACATTACACAAACTCAGTCACCTTGACTAATGGCTGAATAACCTCACAAGAGTGTCAGTTCATGCAGGCTTATGCCCACATCACCTTGAAACACATCCCATATGATCACTAAAGTTAAGCAACATCAAGCCTGGTCAGTACCTAGATGGTGACCACTTGGGAATACCAAGTGCTGTAAGCTTGGATGTGCAAGTAATATAATGGACAATTGCTAATTGGAGAGCTGGGTTTTAATTCCCATTAGGTTCCTTATATTCACTTTTGTTCAAATATCTTTAGAAAACGTATGATTCCACCTCTTCCCTCTCCAGCTATGGGTTAATTAAACTTGTATCACTAAAACATTATTCTCTTTCAAAAAAATTTCTACAATCTAAAAATATTTTATTGCTTTATATAACATGCAAAGGGTTGATAAGCTGTAAAAAAAAATGAATCAATCATGTTCATACATGTGCAGTAAGGTTCTCTCTGATTGGTTGCCAATACATGTATACCATATAACTAGTTCTTTTAGATATTCAAATAATTGCTTGCTTTCCAGGCAGAATTTATACATTGATACTACTATTCCTATTTAGTTGACTGAGTATTTACTTTATTTAGTCATTATTCAATTTTTTCAGTGTTGTGAATTACAAATATGCAAAAATAAAAACATTGCCAAGTTAAGCCTTAAAATTTTAGTTTTTTTAATCTTACTCTTTAAGTTTTCTATGAGGATAATGGTGTCATATCAAATGCATATTAAACTGTACAGGCAAAAATAAAAAAAATTATAAACATTGAAGAAAAAATTATTTTTCAGCAGATTGTAAGCATTTCTGTACTAACCCCCTACCCCCAAAAAAATATGTGAATGCTATTTTTGTGATAGATTTAACTTTGATGTTTTAAAAAAAATTCTTTCTTATTTGAAACTAGTTTTCTGTAATATAAAAAAAATCTTCACTTGTTTTCAAAACTGATAAAGACAAGAGCTTTTTTTCTGGAGTTTATCACATTTAAACATTGACCCCACCTAATTTTATATGATCTAGTGAAGCAGTTCTCTTCATCAACAAAGTGTTTTGGTGTATCTGCATGATTGTAATGAGATAGACTTTCCATGCAATGAGGCAAAATGTCACTAATTTTATCCAACGATAATGCATGATAAAAATCATGATCAGACATTTTTTTTAAATTTCATATTACCTAACTTGTTAGTGTTTTTTTTTACATTTCTTATGAGATTACACTTTGTTGTCTAGATGAAAACATCTTCCAAGATGTTCATTAGCCTTTGTATTTTGATTTTAGTTTATTTGATCAACATTTAGTATAACAAAAATAATGGTGCTATAGAGAAAAATCTGTTCCAGATTGTTGTCATAGAACAGCACAAAATCGTTTACTTGATTTAGCTTTTAACTTTTGTCTGTGTTAAAGTCTCATACAGAATCTCCTCTCTCTCACACACACACACAGAAAGAGAATAGAAGTAGTCATTATTTTTTATATAATTTTGATTAGTGTAGGAAAATGTTCAATCAATAATCGAAAACTCAGAATTATGAAAAAAAAAAGTTCATGTTACATATTTTAATTCATCTACACATACATTTTTTTAATAATTTTTTTAATAATTTTTGTAATCATTATTCTAAATGAACTTTCCTCTTACTTATTATAAAACGCAGATTGTGTGTGTGTGTCTGTACATTTACATATTGGATCAGATTTCCTACATTTTTCAACTGATTTCAACAAAACTGTACAGGACTACGTAAAATTACTTGGCGGTGGTTCTAACAGCGCCAAAAATTGGAAAAACACAATTGTTTTTGCATGAAATCAATTTGAAAACACGATTAAGAGGCATCACGAGAATGAAAGGGGAACAACTCATATCGAGTTATACTTGTTATAAAACCCAGGTTGTTTGTGTGTCACTGTGCTAGTTGATGCCAATTCATATTTACTTCAGTTTTTCATTTCCTGTCACCATTCATGGCCTAATCATAATGCAATGTACAACCAAGTCATCTATCAAGAAGACCTTAAATCATTACTCTTTTTCCTATCAGTTAATGTGTATCTGGTTTGCTTATTGAATAATCCTTAAGAAATGTGCTGTTACTTTTGGACATCTTGAAAGTGTTTGACTGGGTTTGGCATACCAGTCTTCTTTACAAGTTGAAAGACTATGGTATTTCTGGACAAATTTTTGAAGTGATTCAGTTTTTCTTATCAAATCATGAAATGAAAGTTATTCTGGATGGCCATTTTTTTAGATCTTTTTGTACTAATGCAGGTGTTCCCCAGGACTCTTTGAACCTTCTGTGTTTTTAATTTTCATCAATGATCTTTCTCAACTTGATATCGATACTGATGACTCTTGTCTTGATACTAAATTTGATCAGTTTAATAAGGTCAAATTGGCAGCTGATGCAAAAAATAACATGCATTCTGTTAACTGGGGCAAGGAATGGCTTGTTAATTTTAATGCCTCCAAAATTAAACTTCTCTCTATTAAAGACCCTTTCCTGCCCCTCGTCAGGAGGGCTCATACTAACTTCCATGCATGATTTGTTGTACCTTGGGCTAATATTCTCAGATGACATGAAGTGAAAAGTTTATCAGTTTTGAATTCATTGCTAGGTCTGCTGCTAAGAAAATTGGTTCACTGTGTTATACAAGATAATTTTTTCTCTCCAGAATCTTATACATTTATATTATCTTACATACTCATAAGTTTACCATTTGTCCTTGCTTTGAATATTGTTGCCTCATATGATTCAGTGCTCCTGCTATATATTTAAAGATTCTTGGTAAAATTCAAAGAAGAATAAGCAAAATCATTTTCTTTTTCCCCCACTTCTGTAATGTAGCTTCCCTGTGCCTTTTCTATAAATATGTTCAGGGTAATTGTTTAGATTAAATCTTCACTATGGTACCTAGGTTTTATGAATTTAAGTGCAGTACTAGATTGGTGACAGTGTCATCCTTTTGCAGTTGACTTGGATAGGTGTAACCATAAGTTCTATACTAATAGTTTCTTTTCTTGCACTTCTTGCTTATGGAAATCTCTTCCAGCCCTATGCTTTCTGGCCAACTTTGATGTTCAAAAATTTAAATGCAATGTCAATCATTATCTAGTCTTCTTGAATACTCTTCTTCTATTGTTCTCACTCCTTAATAATGTTTTTCTTCTTTCTTATTCTTTCACACTCAGTAAACCCTTGTGTCTTAGTGGCTTTACTGCATTGCATGGGGTGATATGATTAAAAAAATATTCTGTTATGGCAAAGCTGTAAAGTGCTTCCTTGAAGCAAAAATTAAAGAGCTAAAGTTATGGCCATGGTGCATGAAAAGAGTATAATAAAATAGAAAAGCATTAAATTTGTGAGTGGAAGGCATGAACAAAAATGTTTTCCAACTGACAGCAATGTGTTGCATTGAAAGACATTGAGTCTGAACAATGATTTTAGTTAGGAATATTCTACTGCAAGTGACACTAAACTAGTTACTGCTAGTAAGGAATAGTTATTCACATTTCAGGACAATTTTGGACTGAAAAATCATAAAAATTACTGGAGTGGTTGAATTTTCTGATGAAGAAGCTGCTGTCACATTTCCAACAAAGTTGAAGTATTTAATTGATAAGAAAGGATATAATATAAAGTAAGTCTTCATTTAAACTATATTCAGACTTCTTAGGGAGACAATGCCCACTAGAATCTACAGGCATGAATGTGAAAAACAGGCACCAGGGCATGCATAATGGATGGACAAAATAACTCTGGTATTATGTGGCAACTATGCAAGTCATATGATAAAGCCCAGGTAAGTTTTCAATGTGAAAACACATGCTCTGAAATGATCTGCCTGTATTCTGGCAATATAATCAGGATAATCTATCAGGTGATAGTAGTTTTGTTTATGGAATGGTTCCAACAGTCCAAGAAGTGAAAAACTTACTTTTCTTATATTCTTTCACATCCAGTAACCATCTTAGTGGTTTTATTGCCTTGCATGGGGTTAAATGATTAAAAAAAAAGAGGAAGGAATGAAATTTCAAGTCCTTTTACTAACAGAAAATATTCCAGGCCATCATGACTGTTTGCTATGAAAATAAAAATATTGAAGTTGTTTTCTTATCTTCAAATGCAACCTCACTGTTTCAGCCTCATTGACCAGGCAGACCCTCATTTTGGCTTTATACAGTCTTGGAAAACATTTACGATTGTGGATATAATAACATCAAAGTTGCAGTGAATGAATTAAAACCAGAAACTGTAAATGCCTGCTGGAAGAACACATGGAGTGACATTGTTAATGATGTTAAATGCTTCCCTAAGATTGATAAAGAAATTAAGAAAATTACTGATACAGCAAGAGTTGGTGGAGAAGGATTTGTCAATATGCTTGTTGAAGTGAAAGCACAAATTGAAGGCTACAGAGAAGTGTTAACAGATGAGGAATTAGAAGAACTTCGTTTAGTCATCTACTGATGAAGATGAAGAAACTAAAGTGGAACCTGGAATGTGGACATTACAGAAATTTGCTGAGATTTTTTGCATGATTCAGAAGGCAAAGAAAAAATTAATATTATCCTCAGATGGAATGATTAAAGTTACCTGCATGATAATCGAAGCATTAGAACATTGGCACAAATATTATGAAAAGAATCATCTTTCAATCATAATGTTTTTCCAAGAGGTTTCATAAAAAAATGACCTTCAGCTATTAAGGATCCCAAGTCATCAACATTTTTAAAAATTTTTAATTAGCTGTCATCAAATATTACATAATGAGTGATTTGCTGCTGATTAAACACTGACCTTATAACAGTCCAATTCTAAGGTAAAAAGATTTTTTTTTCTGATTTAATTACTTTTTATAATGGCTTGTAGTTATTTCTTTTTTAATTTGCTATTATTATTTTTTTAAATCTTGCTACTATAAATGGCAAGTTTCTACTGTGTGTGTGTATATATATATATATATATATATATATATATAATAACAACTGCTGGCTACTCATATTCAAGGATACCCATCTACTAGGGCAGCTAACCCATCCCTATTGCAGACACTCACTCAGGTACATTTGTGTTTGCTCAACACCCACAGAACCCACCTGCAGTTTATACTGCAACTATGCGGAGCAGACCATAGTTACAGTTTCTGGGAG